CCCTCTCCTTTTCTTTGTGGGTACACTCGATAGTTAGATTAATTAGGACTCAACAATTGTGTTATAACAAATTTCCATAGAAATAAAATATTGAAAAATCGACTCTTGTGAACGAATCTCAATGAAACAACTCGAAAATAATGGACGTGCACGAAATGATAACAGAATTAGTCCACCAAAAGAAACAAAACATCAAAATCGTAGTATGCTTTCATCCTAAGCTCCAAAAATAACCAAAGCACAACTAGNGTTGGAAAATAAAACGAATCGAGGTAATATATATAAAATATATGACACGATATGAAGTATATGATCGCAAACAAATAATAAGATAAAAGACAAAGAATTAATTGACAGAAAAAATGAGTATTTTATTAATTTGACTAATATGGAGAAAACAAATATAATAGCCCTTCCTACAAAATTATCATATATATTTCATTAATACAAAACTTGTGAAAAGAGTACAGTATTTATAAATGTGCATGCCAAACCTTAAAAATACTACAAAGATGGAAACAAGATAAAAAAAATCATGTAAAATAGAAGAAACAATATTTTCCCAATAAAAATAGGTGCAAAGAAGGAAATTTTTTTTTATCAAATATCCAATCAATTTTGATTATAAAAAAAAAAAAAAAAACCCAACAATCTCCAACTTAACAAAAATTTTGATGAAACGAACGAAGTTCCAAAATTTCTTCATCTGGAAAAATAAATCCGACTACAACGAAAATTTCGAACTCTTCAATAAGAACCAAAATTTTTCCAACACAAAAATACTCATCCTCTTCGACGGTATCCAACACGAATACATGAACCTAAACACTGGGTTCTAAAAAATTCAAAAAAAATTAAAAATTATCAAAGTATCGAAACACAACCTATAGCAGAACCAACATACATATCTCCAATGTGTCATCCCTAACAGTTGAATACGATAAAACCACAGGTAATGGTGGCAAGCGGAGTTGCCCATATATTCCAAACTCGACTGAGTAGTATTTTTTAATATGGACCCCGAACCAAATTTCAAAGGTATAGTACCAAACTGAATTTTCATCACGATACTAAATCTGTGCTGACTTTTGTTCACAAATTCTACCCCGACCTTGCAAGATATATAACTTTGATCTGTTCTGCCCCTCCAATATAACACGAACACTAATTTGAACCCTCAAGACTTCACCTCCTCTAGAGAACGTGTACCGTTTTGAATCAAGAGTACTCAACAAAATGAGATTCATCTTCAAGTCTAGAATATGTCTCACATGATCAAGTGTTCTACATGTTCCATCCACTAGTTTCAATCTGACTATACCAATACCAGTTACTCGATAAGGTTCGCTGTTACCTATAACAACAACACTTGCGTCACCGTTTCATATGTTTCAAACAAATCTCGATTGAGAAATATATGGAACACATAAACTGTATCCAAAATTCACTAATCGTCAAGTTTGGATTCCATGTCAGAAATCGTCTCCATCACTCAAATAGTGCTCGACTATTTTGGTCTCGTTTGATGCATTTGATTGCTTTCCAAGATTTGCAGTCAAAATAATGCATTTTTCATCTCTGGGCTCAGATCCAACCGGATGCTTCATATTCTTTTTTGAAAACAAGGCACCATACGTATTTTCAATGGTGAGAATGTCTCTAAACGAAGTAAACGAAGCCAAATCTTTTCCATCATACTTTATCTCTAAAGTCTTCAAATTAGCGACGATCTCCTTGAACACAGTCACATGATCTTCCAAATATCCACATTCTTCCATATTCCAATAATGCATCACCCAAATTCATCTGCGCGAGTATAACTCGCATTTTTACTTGTCACAACGAGAATATTATATTACAATTCAAGAGCGGAATTTCATACTTTATGACTGTCATCAATAACAAAAACCTCGAATAAATCACAACCAATAGTTTTGATACTACTTGTTGGGAAATAAAATGGATCAAGGAAATATATATGACACGATATGAAATATATGATCGCAAACAAATAACAAGATAAAAGGTAAAAAATTAATTGACAGCAGAATGTGGTATTTTATTCAATTCACTAATATAGAGAAAATAAATACAATAACTGTACCTATACAATTATTCTATTTTAAATAAAACAAAAAATTGTGAAAAAAGTTTAGTTTTTATAGGGATGCATATCAAATCCTAGAAATACCATAAAAATGGAAACAAGATAAAAAATCAAGTGAAATAAAGGAAACAAGATTTTCTCAATATAAATACGTGGAAAGAAGGAAAATATATTTTCTCCAAAATCCAACCTAAATTAGGTAAGAAAAACCCCAACAATAGTCTTATTTCACAAAGAAATTTCACCCTTGTTCACTTCACTCACAAGTTCCACATGACATGATGATAGTTCAACATTTGAATTGTCAGAAGCAATTGTTCGATTTGAGGAGGATGAACCTTTTACTTCTGTAATAAGACTATGTAACGAGCAGTAACAAATTTTATTTACGACGTGTAACAATCATGAAAGAATAGTAACTTCCTATTATAGTATTTGTTAACAACATATACGATGATGAAAATATAACTTTAACTAATATGTATACGTTCCACTTGAAACGTTTTAAAGTTTTTAATATGGTGAAAATTGTTCAAGAAAATCAAGTTTGGAGTCGGATGATGATGAATTCGAGCTCTTGCAGTAAGAAGAGTGAATGAACTCGAAAATTTCTCTCTGTGAGAGAAATAGAGAGGTAGAAGTGGAAAGAGTGACAAGCCTTGATAGTTGTACCAACATTACTTTATAGAAGAGAATTCTATGTTGCTCGAAGAATGAGAATCTTCAACGGAGATTGTTCCTTCAATTTTTTGACGGCATCCATGGAGAATCCTTGATGAAGGGAAAAATTAATCAATAGAAAGGACATCAAATGTTGCTAATGCTCGAAAAAGGAGGATCTTTGAAGAAATGAATCCATGATTCAAATTGTCACACTATTATCTGTAACTTTTTTCGCATTTTATTCTCAACCTTTCATAAATTTACAAATTTTGTCTCTGATGACGATTTCCCCCCAAAAGTGAGTAAAAAAATTTATTTGCTCCCTCTTTTAAAGCACGTTATCACAATCTTTAGATGAAATCCGTCATTAGAAACAATATCTGCTAATTAATAGAAAGATAAGATTAAAATATAATAAAAAATTAGGAACATAAACGTGACACTAAATAAATATTAGGGACATATAATAGAATCATAATATGACGCATTTATTAAACAAATATAACCCCTTTGTTTCTTTTCAGAAAATGAGGAAGGTTTTTGAGTTGGATTTAAGTATTTTTCAAGATTCCAACACAATTCTACTATATATCATTGATGGCACATATTACACCTCATTTTCAATTAACATAGAGATAGAGATGACAAAAAATCCGTTCAACCCGATACCCGTAGAGTCCCTTCCCAAACGGGGCGGGGACGGGGTGAGGTTCATTGCCCCAAAGTGGGTATAGAGCGGGTACGAGAATCATGGTCTCCGCCCCGCTACCCACCCCGTTTAAAATTAATTTCAAATTTAAGGTTTTATCGAACAAAAATAATAGATTTACCATATTTTTAAATAGAACATAAATTGTTTCTAACAAATTAGTAAAAAAGTAATAATATTTGCGAAGTAAATATATAAAAAAATAAAAGTAAAAAATAAAATAAATAAAAAAGAAAAATAAAAAATAAATGAGGCAGAGTCCCCGCCCCGTCCCATCCCGTCCCGTCCTGTCCCGCTTTAAACGGGTATGAGATGTGATAAAGTAACAAAAATACTCGATGAGACTGGGAATGACCGACCCCCTCTCATTGCCATCCCTCCCTACACAAAGAGAAGAAAGGTTCACTACAAAGTACAAACCCATGGGTCAAAATTAACAAAGCGTGTGAATAGAGGCATAAAATGGACAGGGCTGGGTCCATAAAATAAATTAGAGGAGTAGAAAATTAGACGAAATCATGTTTTTCAGTTTTCCTTATCACAAATCAATCCATATATTTTCCCCCACAAATCAGGTATCTAATATTAAAGAAATAAATATATTTTTGTATTTGATTTTTCATTTTCGAATCCCTATAATTTAGAGATCATTATCTTAAGTTTATTTTTCAATGTTGGAATTTCAAAAAATTCATCCTTATTGTTAAAATTGATAGCTTACTACCTTAGTCACCATGTTTTGTGTGTGTGTGATGCATGCAATGTCATGGTTGTTACACTGTTCCACATCGATCACGTCTATGTGAAAAATAAATATTCGTCACATTACAAATATCATTTTCAAGAAGGCGACTCGTGTGAGGAGACATAAGTCTTTTTTTTTTTTTCGGGCCTAGGGAGTCAAACCCAACAAAATCGTGTCCCAAATGGGTCCACCCATCCAACGGTGGCCCAATTATCTTCACACCACAAATCATTACCACTCCTAACCGAGGCCCAAATGTTTATCTATGTAACTGTGTTTCATCTTGGTAAGTGTTAGACACTACAGATTATATACAACATTTAATAATGTCGACAAACTAAGCTCCAGTTTGGTTCATCTTAAAAAGGTTGATTAAAATCTAAGTTTAAATCAACAATGAATTAAATCAACAACTTTTTAATCACATATTCCATCAACTTCTATCAAAATCTACTAAAAATCTGATTTTTATCTGAACCAAGGATCGCATTTGATTCCAAGAAGTTGACTTTTATTTTCATGTACCCTTTGGTTGCAAAGTACAATGAACATAACATTACCTATTTGGCTTTGTAAATATAACATTATAGTATGAGAGTCAACCTCAAAAGGTCAATTATTTCCAGAAATGCTTGCATTATGAAGTCATTTAATTATTGTTGTAAGATGACCTGCACGTTTGTTGGTTGGTTGAGACGTAATCTCTGTATAAATAGCAGTATATATAATATATGTGTGTGTGTATTAGTTATCTTAAGATTCATCTTTCATGCAAAATGGGAAACTGTTTAGGTACAGATTTTGTAAAATCCCACAAAAGAATTAGACCTCATGGAGGTGAAGAGGAGGAAGTTGAAGCCTTGTGCAATGGAAATAAAATTGGACAAGATTCTCATCTTTGTAAGAAGGCGTCGGCATTGCCTTCTAAAACAGAGCTCGAGGAGGATCACATTTTAGAGCTGATACAGCACTGCAGCCCTCCGGATGTGGCAGAGGATTGTAACTCTCAGAGAGTTAAGATAGTCGTGACAAGGATGCAGTTAGAGCTGCTGATTAGAAGTGGAGTGGAGCTCCATTTGAGACGAATCTCAAGTAAGTCACGTGTACGAAGAACTTGTAAGCAATGGAGGCCATGTTTAGCTACCATTCCGGAGTTGTAGAATTTTTGAACCATAGGATTCTTTTTATTCAACAATCCTATGAAGTGTACATGCAAAAAAGTGGGAAAGTAGGAAGATCAAAAGCTGATGATAGGCAGCCGATATTTTCGAGCATTTGCACCATGGTTTGATTAAACCTGTCAGCTCTCAGATTTTTATTTTATAGAAATTTTCCAGTGTAGAGATGAAATATATTTAGCCTTTAGGCTTATCATCTCTGTTTCCCCTGTTCAGTGCATCAAAAATTGTTTTCCTTGTATAACATTCAACCTTCTCGAATCTGTCCAATGCTTCATGTTTCTATTTGGTGAAAATTTAACAATATTTCATTGAATTATTTACTGGTAGAACTTTCATGCATTGGATCGAGTAATATCAACGTATATCACAATAATCTTGATATATATCATTCCAAAATTCATAAAAACTAGCCTAGTAGCCTTCCATTTCACATGCCATCGAGACATTATTTCTATTTATTTAAACAACTGTCAAATTCTCTGCTTCTGAACATGTAGAAATATTGAGAACTCGTTTAATGACTGGAGTGATTTCTGGATAATTTGGACCTCTTTTCTTCAAATGGATCATTAAAAGGCATCCGCGATCCTTATCAATTGAAACTGTCAAAAGGTTAGCAAATTGATCCGTAATAGCATATAAAATCCTTCAAGTTTAGACCAATGGGAAAATATACAAACCTTATTGATGTGCTTCTGTTTCTTATCTTTTCATCCACCTTTACTAGTTCTCTCTTATTGTTGCCCTCTTTATTTTCTTCGACTCTACTTCTAATGCTCCTGTTAGCATTTTAGTCTTCTTCATAAGAATCTGAAATAACGACCTAGCATTAGAACACAACATGCATATTAATCACACAAATTCATCAAATATCGGGCAGTTACTGGGACTTTACCTTGATTTCTTCATTTTTAGAATTTAAAGTACTGTCTCTCGATTTGCAAGACTTTCTCAAATATATGACCTCTTTCTGAAGCCTGTCGTACAAAAATCCCGAGACCATATCATCACTATCCTTTTTGGTACTGTCCATACTTTTAATGTTCTCCAAGTCTCTGAGTTCATCACTTCTACACTTTTCAATGCTGATCTTAGTGTTTTCGTTTATTTCTTCATTCTCTTTTTCACTGCAATCCATGATCTTATTTCGAGAAGCCCACAAACTCTTTTTCAAGAAACTTCCTCCAGAAGAGTATTTCTTGTTTAAACTATTATCTGCCTTTGTTTCTCTGGCAGCACCTGGACTTTGCCTTTCATCACCTGTCTGCATTAAGCTTTTAGTAGCAGTGGACAATCTTAGCTGTGATGTAGATCTTTTGTTTGCTCTAGTATTACTTGCTAGGATTCCAAATAAATTATTTGACTTCTCAATTTTCGGGGATCCATTAGAATTCACTGAGAAACTAGACACATGCTTTAAGCCTTCTTCCAGTATCTTCAGCCTTAATTTCAACTTATCCTAAGGAAAATGAAGCATCTTTAGTTCACTCAATCACTTAAGAAGCATAATAGGTCTAATGGCTGTATGAAATATGGTTCCAGTACCTTTAGTTGTGCTTCTGCCTTGGTTGCTCTTTCTGAGATAGCTAGTTTTTCTTTTAACCATTGTATCTTGGCCTATAATATATAGGTCTCAAAATCAAGAAGCAAACTCGAAACACATGCAAACTTTTGAATCACAGATGACAGGACTGGACACTATAACAAACAAGATTTTAGCTTCTTTTTCTTTTATACATACCGTCAAATCCTCACTATCAAACATGTTATATATTAGCTGAAAATGGATACTTTTTTTTTGTTTTCATGCATCGAAGAATGGAATGCAGTCTTCGTATACGGGCTTTTGCAGTTTTGAGTAGTAAGTAATACCTGAAACATTTTTCTCTCTTCTAGCCATTTCTTGACAGGCATAACTCTGTTGTTTTCATCCTTCCACTCATTAGCAACAACTGTTGCTATTCGGTTTGCTGAAACCTTGACTCTTGCAAGTTCCCTCTCCAATATCTTCTTCTCCTCCTATCGAGATGGACAAAACTAAGATCTATTGATACTTAAAAAGTATAGAGAGACGATTCAAATTACACAACCATGACTTACATTTAGTTCATCAATCTGTCGTCTGTAATCACGGACAGTGTTGGCTGCTGTTCCACCAGCAAGTATGGCCTCCTCGAGCTTGATAATAGTTTGGCTAAGCTTTTCAATCTCTGAAACTTTTTGCCTATTAGTCTTGTCAAGTATTTTATTCTCCTCCTGCACATACACAAATGCATTTTAATTAGCCTTTTTCAAACCTAAGTTATAGATGAACCTTATAGCTATTTGGTCGAATCGTGCCTGACAGATCTCAATTTGTCTCCTGAGCTCGAAGTTTTCATTTTGAACCTCCTCTACTATAAGTACCCTTTCAAGAGCACTCTTCAGTATCTTCTCAGCTTCAAGCAAGGCTGCTTCCTTCGACTTGGTGAGACGTTCCATCGCCCTCTTATCCTCCTGCAGTGCTCCAATCTAAAAAGTTCCAACAAACAAGATTACAGAAAAGTAGATACATGTACCAATATCGGTGTTTATCAGCTCGACTTTCACATTACTATTTTCGATTCGGGCAACTTAAACAACAATTGGCTAGCAAGAGTACGGCACAGATATTATATATCTCCATCTAATTTACCTCATTCTTATACATCTTAAGTTCTGCATCAAGAGGAGCTATAATTGATTCAATAGGAACATAATCATCATCCTTTTGATTTGCGTACACACTTCTAAGAGCTGCCTCTGCCGCATGTTGTGCAGTCAATGCTTCTCTCTTCTCGTCAGCAAGTTTCTTGATACCAAGATTCTGCATCAATCACATTCAAACCAGTCATCTTCGTACTGAACTTTCTGATATAGCAATTTACCTCCGTTTGAATACAAATTTAGTCAATGCAAAAGTCAAACATTAATCTTAACTGCATATTCATAGCTACTACTTATTATTATCCAGACGTTTTTTGTGGGATCCACTACTTTTTTTTCTTACTTTCTGATTTATAAACCATTTATAAATTTTCCAAACAGAGGCTTAAACATCTCGTATATATAATTAAAAAAAAAGAAAGAAAAAAAAGAGCAATGCACCTTTTGTTCAAGAAGATTTTCAGTGATGCTGAGCTTTTCTTCCAATCTTTTCACTTGGCTCCTGAACTGTAAGCAAATTGTACAAAGATAGGTATATTAGTAAGCAATTTTAATCATGCTATACCAATATCAATGGTGAATTGCAGTTTGAAATTCATGCTGTCACGATGCAAAACAACCCCGTCTTTAAAGTTTCCGAATTTTATCAATAAAATTAAAGAAATTAGGAAACTTGTTTTGAGATCTTAATAAATTTCCTAAGCCTTTGAAAAGTTTTGGTTTCCGAAACATGAATTAAGATTGTTTTTTTTGAGTACCTGTTCCATGGCCTTATCCTTGAGGACTTCAGTTGCTCTCAGTGCCCTGAATTCACTTTGAGCTTTCTTCAATTCCCCATTCTTCTCTGAAATTATGTCAGCAGTCATCATTTTCATTGATGTTTATTAATGTAATATCTGTCTTTGCTATTGTCCAAAATGTGATAAATTAATGTAAAAATGAATGTAAAGGAGCACAAAGAAAGAACGATCAGGATCTGGAAACTAGATGACACTGTGTTTGAATTGTCCTAATCAGTACTACAACTAATTCTTGATGTCTCCAACTAATTTTTTGTTAAATACTGCTCACATGCATAAACAGTTCTTTTCTCTCTCTCTCTCTCTTCACTCGACCATGCTCGGTGACACGTATTATTAAAAACGAGAGAGAGAGAGAGAGAGAGAGAGAGAGAGAGAGAGAGAGAGAGAGAGAGAAAACCTTTGAGTAGGTTGTGCAGCCTGTTGAGCTCAAGGACAACGGGGTCTGGATGTGAAAGAGAGAGTTCTTCACCAAGTTCCTCCAACAGAGACATTTTCTTTATTTTCTTTTGTCCTGTTTCCTAATGCAAAGAAACAGAGAAATATTGATACCCAACGCAATAACAGGAGAAGCAGGGTTTATTGTGTAATATAAGTGGCCAGGAAGGGACTAGCTATGTGTTAGTTATATAATAATTGTTCCTAACCCTTAGAGAGAGTCCATACTTGTAAGAAAGTGACCTCAAAGAGGGATGGATTTCCCTCATTTTGAAGCAAACTCCAATCGAACAAATCAGCTACCCACCCTTCTTTTCCTCATCTCAGGATTCATTTGAACATGAGGTGGTAGTGGTGGTAAACGAGCCCGTCAGCTTAAGCTGCCAATGGCTCAACTCGGTAAAAGTCCGAGCCGGCTCGTTTGTACTAGCCAAGGCTCGGGCCAAGCTTTAAAAATTAGACTTGGCTCGAGCCTGGGCTTGTCCGCAAGCTGCACGAGTCCGATTGCAGGCTGCCCTTCATGTGGGCTTATTAGACCCACCTTTTTAAACCACTTGCTTAATTAATTTTTTTAGTTAGTAAATAAATAAATACTTAATTTGTAAAATTCAACAACTTCCATAATTACTTTTGTAGTTCGTAAATTAACGATCAAATTTTCATATATTCGAGTTAATAAAAATCGAAAAGTCCGTGAGTCGGCTTGATTCGACAAAGGCTCGAGCCGAAAGTCGACTCATTACCACCACTATGAGACGTGCTTTTCTCGTAAGGGAATTTTATGTAAGGCTTACACTGATACATCTTGTCGTGCAAGTCTTTACTCTTTAACGCACCTCTTAAACATGAAGTTAGCTTTTCTCGTAAGGAAATTTTATGTAAGACTCACACGAATAGACCATGCCGTGCGTGATAAAGGTCTTTATTGTGCCCCTCTTAACCATGCTTTGCCCTCCATTGAAAATGGAAATTGTAGCATTTGTTAAAGAGTAAACAGTAAATTCAGATATTTTCATCATGACACACCAACCATCTTAACCATGCTTTGCCCTCCATTGAAAATGGAAATTGTAGCATGTGTTAAAGAGTAAACAGTAAATTCAGATATTTTCATCATGATACACCACCTACTTTAGAATTATTAACTATTTTTTTCTTCAAATTTAGACCCTGTGAAAAGAAGTTCTATTTTGAAAAATTTGAAAATGACGTCCTACTAAACAAATTTGATAGAGAGCACGTCCTTCACTAGAATATAGAATTGACACGTGTGCATGTTTTCACCATTCACACGAGCAATTGCCAAGATTATTATGTTGAGTTTTGTGTCTCAAAACTAGAGTAGCTTGATCTTTCGACTATCTTAGTGTTAATACCACAATGGTGTCAAAGAACTTTCAAGTATCGACGCTTTTAACGTTAACTTAAAGTTTACAAATGTAAAACCATATAGTTAGATGAAACAAATTCATGGGGAAATGACATTAGCTCAAGTAAACAAAACTCCAAAATGAATACAGCCAGTAGCTAAAATTGGCGTTGCGAACGTTCTTAGAAGGAAAGAGTGATGGTAGGTAATTTGGTAACGTCTTATTCCTAAGCCAAGAAAACTAAGGCGCATTTCTTGGAGTTTTCATTTACATAAACCCGTCTTATTTAGGAAGTTTAGTAAGATGGGTTTCTTGCAAAATGATCATAAATCAAGCGAAAATATCAAAGAATAATTTAGTGAAGTCATGATCTGCAAATGTTGATGGAAAGCAGTTGTTTAGGACTAAATCAATTGCTTAGGCATTAAACCCGCCTATACTCATGCTTGATGACAAGGCAAATCTTTTATAGTTAGAGAACAAGAATTCCAAAGCTATGAGGAGAGAACAAAGATATTTTCTTTGGAGTTGGTGGTGGTTGTGGGGTAGGGATGAGCAAGGTAGGTGGGTTTAGGCTGAGTTGAGTTGGGTTGGGTTGGGTTGAGAGTGGGGTGCGGTGAGTTTGGAGGGAAGTTGAAAAAGGTAAAATGACATTTTTATCCTTTACTAGTGAAGAGAATGTGCGTTGCACGTTAGTTGATTATTGTCGACAAGATATAAATGATTTTATTTTGGAATTGATGTTGGTTGATGGTTTCCTTCATCTAATGAAGCATGAAAGAGTTATTTTTTCCTGAAGTATTCAACAACAATCAACTTCCCATTTGATACAACCTAGCAATCATCCAACAACAATTAATAGGCAAATAGCACTACGCAATGAACCAAGATTTTAGTTATTTAACTGACTATAAGCTTGAAATATATTATAAGCATATGTTCCAATATTTCAAAGGATAAATTACATGCCTGTAGGGCTAACGTAGTACATCACGGATATGAGTTTTAGTTTGAGACCTTCCTTTTCACCAAAATCTCCATAAAAATTAGCCTCAAAGCTTTTCCAACAACACCTCCCATTTGGTAAAAAACACTAACCTAGCTAATATTCACTTCCTCATATGAAGCTACCAGCACACCAAAACTAGTCACTGACATTATCAGAAGCATCCTAAAGCTCATCATTCAAATCCAGTTGTTACACCAAGAATGAAAACAGCAACTGACACTGAAAATGTCATTAGGAATGAGATCAGTAAAACAAGTAATATGTGGGAAAACTGCTACAGAAATTAGGTATAGACAAGCCAAATCAATTTCAACCTTTAAAACAACGAGTAGTACTTACTGATTGCTTTCGACATTTGAGTAAATGCAACAGATATATAGAGGTAACCAGTGTTTCCAAGCCAAAGAGTCATAGCAAACATGGCACCAATTGGGATGACAGAAGATATATATCTGTATATTGAAAAGTCAACTTGGTAAAATAATTCTTCCAACCATCAAATTTGAAAAAAAAAAAAAATACAGGTCAAATCTAACACAAGCTAAGAGGAAATGTTGAAAAGAAATCAGGAAAAACAACAGGTCCAAGATTGAAATCCTCATTCAGTTTTTTTTCCCTTTAGTTCAGCGATAAACTCTAAAGATGTTGCTAGCATCTATGCAACTTCGAATATGAGACAAAAGAGTACTCTCACATTTGCAAAGTCATCCCTTCTTCAACTTTCATAATCTGCAAAGAAAACACAAACAAAATTTTTAGCCAGAAGTAGTATTCATGAATAACAATATCCAAAAGATGAAGCTTACCATCATGTTGTCAGAATTACCTTGGGAACTTTAGTAAGCATAAAACATAATACAGATGAGAAGACCTTGTGAAGTAGGGTCAATCCAAGAGGTTAATTTCCTTTGATGAAAGAACCCACTGCATTATTAAATAATATGGAAAGTACATTAGCATGTGAACAAAGTTTGCAATCAACTACTTGCAACATTCAAACAATGGCAACCACAAACAAATTGGCAATGATAATTGATTACTTTCATCGTTTTAAACTTATTTTTCACTTCTATATAGAGAGAAGCAGAAGAAAAAGGCAAACAGAATGGTTATAAAGCTGCATGATTGAGAGCAACTTTAGAAATTTTTTACACGCTGTAACAAACTCTTTATTTTACTTTTTTCAGCAATCATTTATTTTTCCCTTAATAGAAAACAACTAACTTTTGAATGTCAATTTTTTGTCTGGCCAACATCAATGATTTAGCTCTACAAATTCTTATTGTACTCCACTTCCTCTATCTCACAGGAACTTAGCTCCTCAATAAAAGAACAGTAGTTCATTCAGTGATTTGCCAAACATGGCCGGAATCAAAGACAGACCATATAACTTCTCAAAGATACAAAAAATAAATAAATAAACACAGACAGTTCAAGCTAGATATTCGATTTTCATTATGTATCTAATATCTGAAAGTTTATCTCTGCCTCCTTTAACTGACTAGGAGGGAGGTTGAGGAAGGATGGGGAAAATGAGTCTTGTTGGTAAGGGAAAAGGGAGAAAGGCTGATAAAATTCCCCATGGCAATCTAAACATAGGCATGGATTTATACTGTAACAACTTTTATTTATGTCTATCTAATACACGAAGAAAATGGATAGCTCTAGAAAGCAGAAGTCCAGGAAAGAGAAAAACAAGAAAAAGTAATCAATGTGATGCCTATAATGTCAGCAAACTCCTTGTTGCAAAGCTGAAAGTTTTTGCACTGTTTGCAAACCCAACTATCTCTAGATACCATTAGAGTGTAGCAGTGTGAGCATGCATGTTGCCAGTGAACCATGATAAAGTCCTCCTTCATTGGAGATATCGTCCGACAAAGCTAAAAAAACAGACATTTTTTATAAGAACCAATAATAAGACGTGCAACAATGTTTTTAAATTTAACAATGAATGATGGGGGAAAGAACAACATAGAGAAAATAAGAGGTCGAGGGAGATGATTAAAAAAGCATCAAAACATAAATCATCAGTCAAATGAGAGAAAAATCACAAGAACAATTAAAAGGAAAAAAAAAAAAATAACTAAAGTAAATAGCCACGACTATTTGTAAGTGCCTGTAATGTTTTGTTTCAGAAATACTAATATTAAAAACACTATCATTATTGGTAGGTCTTCAAAATAAAAAACCTCTAGAGAAATTTAAACACATAAAAGAACAGTGTGCACACGGGCATTAAAATTACTTTATCGTGTCTCTGCACGGAGATACGAGAATGTGTCTCCGTCGTGTCTCCGCACGGAGACACGACCCCTTCAAAGCTTCAAGTGCCTTCTCAGCATTACCCTCTTGCCAAACAACCACAATGATATTAAAACTATCACAAACGATTCTACATAGGCTTTAAACCTTGACTCTCCAGTTTCATTCCCATGCAAGTAAGCAAGAACTAATGATATTAATGCTGCTAATAAAACGATCTTGACAAGCATATCATCAAATTGTTCCAGAACGAGTCTCCAAAGGGGCTTCCCCTTCTCTTTTTGGAGCTCGTTCCAACTAGATATCTCTCTATGCTTTTCCACCTCATTGCTACTCAGACCCTTTTCAAGTCACTTTGTACTCCTTCAAGCACTGCTCTACAGGCCATGACCATGCTTTGAATGATTTCTCATTC